TCCAACCGTTCGAGGAGACACAACACATTCGAAAAATTCTCTCGTGTGAACAAGATACTCTCTTCAGCCGTTCAAGTACAATTCGAATCAAGTCGTCAATCGTTCGTGACGCACTGTACGTTTTGCTAACGTTTGAGCAAAGTAGATTTTGAACTAGTTACCCAAGATTAATTTGGCGGGTAACAGTCGCGACCGCGAGCTTCCTGTTGAACATCGCAGAAGATCGCGACGCGACACTTATACTCGACTGTTGCTAACGAAGCGTGGGTAATCAACAAGCCGCGTTAGTATGTGGGCATTCACACGGAAACGCGTAATTCGGGAATTTTCTATTCGCTTCCTAACAATTCGATTATGACAAGGACAGACAGCTGTCCCTCTTTGAATTCGAGAATTCGAAGAATTCGTCGCGTATCTCGTTGATGGTTGTTACAAACTTAATTTTCATTAGGACCCGAAGACTGAAAATACCTACATCTTATTTCATTTAAATGTTATCATGTTAGATAATGTTAATTTAATTCAGTTTTAATATATATGTACATTGTATATTATTTGTTTCAGGAATCGTGTGGCTCTTTGGCTGATAAATATATCGAATACGACTCAGTCGTAATCCTTGTTGATTTAATATTACTTGATAAACGGGCGTACAGGCACCTGCTTTACAACTGTAACCTGAAGCCTTGTTGGAAACTAATAATAATTCTCTGGCTTGTTGAATCTTTCCGCAATTTTTCCTTATGCGAAAATAACGCAAAATATGTTCAAAATTGGAAGGCATTTCAATACCATTTTAATGGATATTGCAATCTTTATTTAATATTATTCAAGACTGCTTTTGCCCACGTTGCCTTCATTTTTATTGTAATTCTTTTGACGGAAATTAAGTGGTATCTTCAACCGAATAATTCAAATAAATGCAGTGTGACACGTCTGACGGAAGCTTTAGTAATTGGTGGAGCCGGAAAACTGTTAGGACTACTAGAAATCACTTGGAGGCATGTTTTTGAAGCACCTCACCACTTCCTTATATTCGGATATACTCTTCTTTGTCTGATCACAGCTTATTTAGGTAAGAATTTTTATACACCTAATGCTATTGTGGCGGGTACGTCGTCGTCAACAAACCCTTACCGAACCTCGTTCTATTCTGCCACGCGAACTTTCTCTTTTCCAACTCCTTCAGATTTTAGTTTCCGTTCTTATGTCTCTCCCCGGGTTAAGACTTGCCTTCGTCCTCGAGT